CATCTGCCCACCGAGTGCCTGATAGAGCTGGTCACCTGGGTCTTTCCCTGCAATTCTGTGTACAACTCTGTTCCTGTGTTTTTAAGTGCTCCGAGGAATTGCCAAGTAAAAGGAAGTGCTAGCAATGCCCATTGCTTTCTGTCTTAATTGATAAACAGAAGGTCTGGTGAAGTCTCTTCTGCTCACTGCAACAGACATGGCTTGCAAGCAGCATAGGGCTATAACAAATGTCCGAGGTGAGCCATCAAGGGAAAGGGCTGTAGGGGTGCTTGCCCCTCCGAGCTGGAGAGAGGCTTCCCTCTGAAGTTCTCCATTGAAGCAATAAAGGAGAGGAATGACAGATTAGCAAATATGAAATGGCCTATGCAAACTGGGTGGTGTGTCCCCTCATTACCCTTGTGATGTTTGATGGAGCAAGTCAACTCCAGCATGAAAGCCTACCTCAACTGCTGTCCCACTTTTTTTTTTTTTTTTTTGCATTTCTGTCTCTTTTTAAACTTTCAGCCTGTATCATTTTTTAGCTAACAAACCTGTCTGTCCTCACGTAGCTTATGCCTCTTTTCCACAGAGGCATTCTTCTGACATGGATCTTAATGACTGGCTATTTGGTTGAAATATTTGTTGAGGGATTCTCTGCAGGCCAGGAAATGAACACAGGAAAAACTTTGGATTGCTAGTGTTAGTCTTAAAAGACGTTCTGTCAGAGTTCTTACTAAAGGGAAAACTAGAGCCAAGGGAGAGTTTTTTCAGAGACTGCGTTGGGTACGTGGGATTTCCTGCCTGCTCCCGATGTCTGCCAGTAGTACATGTGATGTAAACATAAAAACTAATATTAGTCTCAAAATCTGACAGAAGCTATACTCATGTTGCTAAGGAAACACATCTATTGTGAAACATAAGAAGATTTATAAAGAAGAGAATGAAAACTTTGTATAAGGTGGACATTTTATATCAAAGAAAAAATATGATACTGAGTCCTAGGGTTTATTAGGATCTGGAAAAAAAAAAAAAAAAAAAGCACAAACTGTATTCTCTTAATGAACTTTCTGGCCAACTTGCATCTGATTTACCCTGGCCATGCTTAGAGGCTTAATAGTGAGAGTGGGCACAGCTCACTATTCCATATTGACATTACTGAAGCTTATTATCTTTGTCACTTCCCTGAGATTTGTCCGTGTTGCTTATAGGGAAAATTACATATATAAAAATGTGATGTTACCTGTCATTTCTCACTGACAGGTGCATTAATTTCACTTTAAATTTGCTTTATTCTTAGATCACTTTTAACTTTGCATTATGCAAAAATTATGTAACTATTTTTTGTGTAGTATTTGTTTGTAGTAAGTCACTGAAACAAAGATGAGTTCAATCATCCAAACAGAACCTTGGAGATAAAGCAACAGCTTTAGAGTGTATGCGATTTAAGCACTCTGACAAAAAACCTTGATGGGGTTTTCGGAGAAGGAAATCAATTGCAATTTCATCTTCACAAATGCATTTGTAGATTAAAAGAAGCTTAGACTTTAAGCCTCTGCAACAGTTTATTTGGAAACAGCAACACACTATGTGTGGCTTCTCATCGGTCTGGTATGGGTTATTCGCAACCTTCCTCCTCTGCATCTCGCTACTGGTAGTAATCCCATTAGATGATTACATCTGATGTCCTCAACAGACAGATTTAGTCATAATGAAAAAATACTTCAAGCAGGTTTAATCAACTGTGTGCTCATTTTATAACCAGAGCTCCTCTTACCCTGTAACTTAGTCTTAAGTAAAGTGCATTTATGCCCTGCAGGGACACCTTAGTCTATTAATTGTGCACCTAACCATCTGGTTACTTAGACAAAGCTATAAAAATCAAGGGTTGAGTGTTTTCACACTTAGATGAACCTTTAATGCAGCTATACTAAATGTCATTGTAATATCTGAATATCCCTCTGACTGAACCAAAGAAGTCTATAAGCTGGTGAGCAGCAGCTAGCTCTTCCTGGAGTTGTTTTGTTTAGCTTAAGTGAAGAGAAATGTATACGTTAGTTCTGAGAGTATTTACTTCCAGTGCAGCTAATGGCCTGCGGCTGAATGGCTGGTATGAAATCAATTTTCCTGGGGACAGGAAATCTTTATTCTTGTGCAGAATTCCACCAGTTTGCTGTGATATTTCTCAAGTAGCAGGCAGAGTTGTAGAAATGGCCTTTTTCAGAAGTATATTTTTGCCTTCTTACAACTATCTAAGATTTTGGCTAATTATTTTTATCTAAGAGCAATTTATGCCTTGAATTTGGAGGAGAGAAAAAAACTACTGGGGGAAAGCAGTTGACCTTGCTGTCTATACGGACAGAGAGTTACTGAAAACTTTTAAAGATTTCTTCCTCTGTAGGATTGTCTTTGGAATGAATTTGATGAACTGAAAAGCTACAGCAAATCCCAAACTGTAAAAAACACTTAGAACTCCTCCTCTTGGACAATATAGCCTGTAATTCCATTGCTACTGCCTAACTAATGCAACTACCTAACTAATGCAACACACTTCACAGTTCTGTCCAGTTTAGATGCTAATAGTCTCTCTCTTTTGTACCATGGATACTGGAAATCACAACAATTCTCTCTAAGAGTGACTGTGGAATCTGTGCTTCAGTCATTGTACAGCTTATATTTAATGAGATAAGGTTTATCTGAGGGAAAAACCTGGACTGCAAGTTCAGGTGTGTATCTACATTGATAATGGACATCTTCCCCACCTACCACTGTGTCTAGGTTACTGTAGTATCACAGTTTCTATTTAAGAATTTCCTTCTGCATATGCACTAAGTGTGGACTTTTTTATGTTTAGCATTTCAGTGACATGGGAGACCCCATGGTTTTAAAACACAGAAAACATGCTGTTTGTGAATTGCTTGCAGAAGGAAAAAAGGTTGAATAACTGTAGCATTTGATTAGCTAACTTCTATGAACTCTTGATTAGTTGTGAAGTAGGCTATTATTTCATTACTGACTAAAACAAATTTAAAAAGATGTTCACTGAAATTTAAGGGCTAGTATATAAAATTAGGATTCTCAAAAGTTTACATAGTAGAACCTATCTGTTGGGAAAGTTTCCATGCATCTACAGTGTGACCAGAAAGAACATCTGAAAAACTGCATAGTAGCCTGATTGTTCTACAATGAGTCAGGATCAAAAGAGAATCATAACACCAGCCTTCAGCAGTAGCATATACATCCTATTTCCTAGGAAAGGAAGAGTTCCTAAATGTTGTGTTGGAACAACATTGTGAAGTGCAAGTCTTTAAAGATACACCAAGCTTAAAACACACAAAATGTTTTAACTCATGCATTAATCACTGTATTGCTCAGTGTTTACACTCATGCATTAATCACTGTATTGCTCAAGTTTTGCCTTTTGTATTAACTGTATTGCTGAAACATACAGAAAAGCTATCACTGAAAAACTGCTGTTTTCTAATGTTTTGTAATCATTATGCCACCTGAATCATGGTCTGAATTACTGTGGTTGCCTGAATGGTCACTAAATGGTGTAATAACTATGAAAGAGTATTTCATTGATGGAAAGGGTTTCCCCTCACCTGAGAGTTGATGCTTCTGCCCAAAAATGCTGAGGGCAAGATGGCAGGCATTTATGAGCTTGAGTAATGAATAGTATGGCAGAGAGGTCTAGGAAAGTAATTCAAGGCATTAAGTTTCTGTCAAAATGCCTGTCAGGTATGTTCTGCATGAAGACTAATCTTTTTTTGGACTACTTCCTTTCCACTTCCAGTACTTTACAGTCATTTCATTCTTTCCCCACAAGCACTTTCTGCATGTCCCTGGTTAGTTTTACAAGGAAAAGAAGGAAGACTATGCCAGCCAGCAGGAAAGTGTAGAATATCTTGTCTGTACTGAGCACGTTGCTCAGCCAAAACAAGGCAAATAACAAGCACGACGTCCCTGGCTGCCACCACTGGCAACCGTCTTATAAGTGTTGCCTTTTAAGACTTTGCGTGGATCAAGACCCTGCAAAATATGGAAAGGGCAGTACAACGAACAGACCCTTAGCTTCTCCAAAGAATGGTCCTAGGGTCACCTCAACCCGTGTATGTCACAGCAAGTTTCAGCATGAGCCTGACTGTGGTGGGATATTTTCTTCTCCTTTGGCTCCTTGTGTGGACTCTGCTCTTGGATACATTCCACCATGGCTCTTGCTCACTCCATAATAGTTATGCGGGTCCTTTTTCTTGCACAGTGATGAGGTCGGAGGCCTTGGGCACACGATCCAGAAGCCAAGGCTCAACATGTCTCTGTGTTGCAGCTGGGTCAACGTAATTGCTGTGTATATGCCTCTGGTGCATGGTGAGGGAGGGGTGACTTGAATTCACGTGCTCTGAGCTGACGGGCCTGTTTGGGAGTGTGCCCTGACCATTCTCAACGGAGCTGATCTTCCTTCATTCTTCACTCCCGCAAATGTGCAAATACTGTGTGAAGAAGTGCGTTGTCAAATTGTCTTCATTCCTCTGGTGTCAAAGGTCATTGGACTGGCTGATATGCATATATATATATATATAAAGATTTGCAGTTGAAGGATCTTTTTCAGCGTCAGAATTGCAGCCCCACTGAGCATAGCCGCTTTTGAACAACTCCAGAAGGCGGCTGTGCTCTGACACATTGCACTGAGTTCAGGTCCTTGATGCTGTTTGCAGTGATTTCTTTTTTGCTTATCACAAGCTTTTGGTTGTTTCTGAAACAGTAGGGTGGGAATTAACCACTGAAATGAAGATGCCACTTTAGCCTGCACAACTTCTTGAGCCTTGTATTTGAAGACAAAGTATCCAAAGAAACAGCGTTGAACCTAGGAGAAGCCCAGAAACGTAGCCAACGTATTTTGAAAGTGATGTGTTTCTCAGAAGCAATAAGATTAAGTGGCTCACCTGATGTGCTCTGTGCTTAGTGGAAAGAAGCTTATTTAAATTAAGGGGGCGAGAGGATCTTTGCCTCAGTACAGAAAGAAGATGGGCTCCACAGAAGACCTTGACTATCCTCAAATCATATTCCAATACACCAATGGATTTTTAGTCTCAAAGGTAAGAAATATAAACCAGTCTTGGATAGATGTCTAAGAATATGCAGAAAGAAATTTTCAAGAAATTTTCAATAGGCCTTGGCACTTCCTCATGACTCGCTTCCCCTCCCGGTGCCTTTCTTTACCTCCAGGTTATATTTACTGCCTGTGAGTTGGGAGTGTTTGAAAATTCTCCTTTTCTCCTTTTTCTTTGGAGAAAAAAAAAACAATAAGAAAGCATCCTGATAGTACACTGAATTTAAATTTATTGTATGCATGAGGGGAATTTGGAAGGTAAAAAGGTCTGAGAGAGACCCTGGCCCCTCAGAATGGACCTAATAGTTATTGCTACCCCTATAAACTTTGAGGGCTCGAATGTGCAGAAGTGCCGTCTCCCTGAGGCTTTAAAAATGCAGGTGGTGATGGCTGAGGGCTTGCTGTTTGACTGCCTCAGCTTTGCCGGTTTGCTTAGGTAGTAGGATTTCTTCTAGCCTTTTCATTTTTGAAGTCTGGGAAACAGAAGGTTGGCTTGCATCACCCTTTTCTTCTGCTGGCATGCCACTCAAACAGCAAGTTTTTTCAAATATGCTCTCAAAGAAGGATTTTCTCCCCCTCCAAGGCTTGGCTGCAGATATTATGCAGCAAGCTAAACTTGGTAACTTCTGTATATTACCTCCTTTTCAGGTGTAGGAAACCTGGGCTGATATAACAACGCTCTTCCAGGCAGCATCTGATTAAGACAGAGAGGCAGAACTAGTAGTTTCAATTTCCTTAATGTTTGCTGATTTTTGTGCATGCATGTATGTCTGTGGACACAGGAGGGCATAAAATTATTGTACTTCAATCTGGTGGGTTTTTTCCCTCATTCACAATTTAGTTATCAGTATTTTCCTTTGCTGCAACCTTGGCACACATGGTAACAGAAGGCATGCTCTGCTAAGTGTGCAAATGCTGCTTATTCAAAGACTCTGGAAAGGGAGAGCTGCCAGTGAAGAGCAGCAAAAAATGGATGAGGACAACTCTTATCGCTTGAGGAGAAAGATGAGTGCCCAGATACTTTCCAAATTCACACTGGTATTATGTTTTGAGAAATGATCTCAATAACATTGAGATCCTGCTTAAATGATGTTCTTACAAGAGGAAAGAAACCTTAATGGATGTTACCGAATCACTAGATATAGACAGCCAATTAGAGCTGCTGCATTCCTTAGTGTTTTAGGAGAGTTTGTATGACCAGTGAATCAGAAATCTGTTATTTATGAACCTGACCATGTACAGTCAAAGACGGGTATTTTCACTGTGTACACTTAGGCTACGTATGTTTGTCTGAAGAATGCAGGCTTGTTCCAGGAGTACACAGGGAGTTTATCCCAGGACGATTGACACGCTTCCCACGGCAAGCCACCTCAGAATCCCCAGGATTCAGTGTAGTGCATGTTAGATCTTTAGCTAGAAGAGCGCACTGCGCTGTGCTTGTGCTCTCCAAGCAAAGAGCAAGAGAGATAGTTGTCAGGATGCACACTGAAGCTAAGGTACAGGTGGGAGAATTTACATATAAAATCTAGTCTGAAAACGTGGTCCTTTGCAAGTGTTAAAACCTCAGCTGCCAAAGGAAGAGAAATGAAAAGAGTGCACTACAAGCAGTGCATGGTATTTTCAGTGCTCAGATCAACTTCAGGTTAATCACTGGACTTGGAAATAAGGTTTTTTCATCAAAATCATGATATGTATGAAATGTATAGATTTTTATTTTTCTCCAGTACAGCATGTTTAGAAATACAATAGGCCTTGGCACTTCCTCATGACTCGCTTCCCCTCCCGGTGCCTTTCTTTACCTCCAGGTTATGTTTACTGCCTGCGAGTTAGGAGTGTTTGATCTACTGCTGGAGTCAGGAGAGCCCCTGTCTTCAGATGCCATCGCTGCACGCTTGGGTACCAGCCCCACCGGGATGGAAAGACTTCTGGATGCCTGCGTGGGATTGAAGCTATTGGCAGTAGAGGTGACGAGAGAAGGAGGTAATAATGGCAGAAGAAGGGGAAGAAGCCAAAAGACTGAAAGCTCTGATGGTTTCAAAAGCAAAGCGAGGTGTGTGGGGAGAGAATATCTAGTATTAGGCCAATGACTGCAGCTCGAAGAAAGAGACTGTCACTTGGGAACAGCAGCCCTTCTCTGGCTGAGAGAGCAGCAGCAAATGTCAGCCTGACTAAAGATGTAAAGAAAGCCCTACAGGTTTGTGTCCTGCTCTGGCTTGTGTCCTCTCGCCCTGTTTCAGGGCTTACAGCAGCTGTCCATCAGTGTCAAGGAGAGCAGCACGGGCCTTCGCGCCTCTCTCTGTATATGTCTTCCCTGCACATGTCCCAAGGCATGGGTAGCCCAGGAGCATCTGGCTGCGCTCTCCTCCTCAGGCTGCTTTCCCAGAGCAAGCTGAGGCCTCAGGGTCCTTTACATTACCAGAGCGGGTGATGCCACTGGGGTTGCGCTGGAGGAAGCGGGAATGATTTCCACGGGGTGCTCTGGGGGTTGGTCTCCTCCAGAAGGGCCTGCCCGAGAGCATTGAGAGGGGTTAGGTATGTGTTGAGGGGGAGGGTACTATACTTCGGAGACCTGAATGTCCCGGTTACTTACCTTACCATTGAGAAAAAGACTTGTCTGCAAAGGCCTTTCAGTTAAATAGAGCATAGACCTTTTTTCTGAAAGCAAAATTTATAGGTAAACGATGACACTAATCATAAGACTTTCCTCTTTCTCTTCCCTGAAAAAATGTTTGATGCTGGCGTAAGTGTAGGTAGACTGTGGCCCCACAGTGAATGGGGCAACACAGATTTCACCGCTACCATCTATCCTGGAATATAGCCCTTGAAAGGGTTGATTGTAAATGCAGCGTGTTTCTATCTCTGTCCGTATACTACTCCTGTATACTCTGCTGTATGCCTCTTTTGTTTTTTTGGTATTTTGATCCACAAGTAGACCTCTTTTGGTGATAAATATCATGCTGTGCAACATGCTGGGCAAGGTGATAGCATACATATTAGCAAATATATTTATTTAATCTTTTTTAGCTTACTACAGAAACACAGAAATTTCCAACCTCTACCTTACAAAATCAAGTCTCAAGTCTCAGTGTCATATTATGATGTATTACTCCAATACAGTCTATTTGTGCTGGCACTACCTGACGGATGCTGTGAGGTAAGGAGGAGAGTATGAGCATTATGCACTGCTTATGGCAGACTGCTTTGTCGCATGAGTGAGGCTGCTGTGAGCGGTGTGTTGGGGAAAGGCGCAAGGAAGACATTGGCTGGTTCTTGGCAAGAACTAGCTGTTGTCATTTCTGCACATGTGCGTTCTTAGGGGCAGGGGTATTGCTGTTGGTAGGGCAGATTTGGGAATCAGATATCTGTATCTTTAGTAGCTCTCAGGAAAGAGCTTGATCATTACATTGGCTTTTGTTGAAGGATGCCATCTGCAATTTAAATGATGAGGACTTATAGGTAACCATACTTCTATTGCAAAAGTGGAAGGAGGTAGGAGCAAGAGTAGATTGGGCTGGAGTCTCACTTGTTTCAGTCTGTGCAGCTGATGATCATGACGCATGGGGGTACCAGTCTCACCCTTTTACTACAGATGTAGTCCTATGAAGAACCAGACATTCTTGTTGAAAATTGAAAAATACCTTGCTTTATCATCTTTTTGGGTGGCAGATGAGGGTGTTAGAATGGTCTCAGCCATTACAAACGCACTGACATATTTTTTGCCCAAGGTAGTTCCTTTGCCCAGTAATGAACTAACTTTGCAAATTTTTTTCTGGGGGGAAGGATAAAGAAATCCACATTAATGTGGTTTTTTGTTGTTTTTTCTCTTTTAGAGAAGGAAGAAACCAATATGAAAGAGCTTTTGGCATTTCATCTAAAGACCCTTTCGGAGCAATGTACAGGTAATCATTAGTATATAAATGGGAATTTTATTCTTCTTAAAATAGAAAAAGTATCTAGTTTGCAACACAATTCAGGACAATTAAACATGGTCATGTGAGAGTCCACTCATCTGAAGTAACTTGCAGCATTTCCTTTTAGGAATATCTGTTTTTGAGGTATTCTCTGATATTTTGATTAGAAATACAAAAATTACTGTTCTGAAAAACATCACAGGATGTCTTTGGCACAGTTGCAATGTTGTTGCAGGAAAAATCCCCTGGAAGCGTACAAATTAGTAGTGTGGTACACTGTTGCTCCTCTCTAGTCTTAATCCCCTATTCAGATGCAGGAACGCATTGCACTACCTGTCTGGTACAGTTAAGTCTTAAGGTAGGTTTGTATGCAAAGTGAATTTATTGTGCGTCGACAGAATCGGAGATTAGTGTTTGAGCTAAAACTCTTGATAAAGAGTTGGACGATAAGAATCACCAAGGATATTGTGAGTCATCTTTTCCACATGCTGTCTCTGCATTACCAGATCAGAAGAAGAAATGCTGAGGTTCATGGCCGGCCAGAACTCAATATGGCGTATATGCGGTAGAGATGTTCTTGCTGCATTTGACCTTTCCCCTTTCAGGCAGATTTATGACCTGGGAGGTGAGTGTCAGTAGATCTTCTTTTACAAGCCTCTGAACTGTTGCCTTTTACGAGCGCTGAAAAGAAATAGCAGTGGAAAGCAGGCCATATCTGAGAGTCTTGTCAGCAACAAAGGGAGACTTTTGCTTTTTTGCTCTAGGTTGGAAAGGAAGATATGAGAGCAGGGAGAGCATTAGAAAGCTGCATGTTTTTCTTTACAGCATCTCATATGTCTGAGGAGTGGCTCGTTGGCTGTTTATTTGGCCGCTTTTGGTATTTGTTTCCTTCTTTGCTTGGCACATCCTTACGCTGCCAGCCTCACTCCTTGTTCCACTTCAGTGACGTTAGGCTGAGAGACTGTCTGTAGCCTCTTACCCCAAAGGACCTCGTTGCTCCAGCGCTACCGATCGTTGCCAGCACTCACGGGACCCGACAAGCGCCGTCACGGGCTCCATCCAGTCCTTGTGTAAGAGCTGTACAGGACGGGGACTCAGCCCACAGGCCTGGCTGCCAGGAGCCCAGGGGCTTCCTGCAGAGCAGACAGAGGCCATGGACACGCTTGTCCCTCTTCCTCCCTTTTGGTGGCAGGCGGGGGACAAATGTACCTTGCGAGGTGCCATGAAGCTGAGTGCAGCACCGCCTGCGTCACTTCACGGGCACGTTGCTGAACAGGGCAGTTTTGTGTCAGCACTGACCACCTTTGCTCTCCTCAAAGGAGGTGGAGGAGCTTTGGCCCAGGAGTGTGTTTCTGTGTACCCAAGCTCCACGGTCACCATTTATGACCTGCCGAAAGTCGTGCAAGCGGCCAAAGAGAAAAACGGTTTGTTCCTTCTGAGGAGCGTCGGATCGCTTTCCACGAAGGTAAGTGCCGGCCGCTGCAAGGAAGGGTGCTGGTGTGTGGTGGAGGAGCATGTGGCTGCGGGGTCACAGATACAAGCGAGTACGCTGGGTGACAGAGGCCACATAAGCCAGGTCACTCAGCTGGTTGAGGCTGGGAGTTTAGTGACTGTCAGTGCACTTGTACCGCCTTGCCTTGTGAAATATCTGCCTGGAAAGGCAACAGTGAAGAAGGGCAGCAGCTTTCCCAGCCTTTTTCCTCAAGAGTTTTTCGCGTGTTCAGAGAATGGAGGAGCACTGACCACCAAGGTAGGTGTGCAGAGGAGCTCTTAATGTGTTTAGACACTCCCAAAAGCAATTCTACTGGAGTTTTTTGTCACAGCAGCTGCTCGTGAGCCCCTTGTGTCTTCTTGGAGGTCCCTCATTTGAGGTTCAGGCCTCCTTGCTTGGGCAGGGTCTCCGAGTTCTTTCTCCCCAAACAGCATCCTTCATAGCTCACATCTGCAATTTATTGCCACAGCACAGCTGTCCTGGTTGTGCATCTCCAGCTACCTTCCCTCAAGAGAGAGAACATGATTATGAAGCGACACAGAAACTCTTTACTCCTGCAGATTACTCTGTTTCTTCAGAACAAGAGCACTGCAAAATAACCCCTGCAACTGTGGACAGCTGTTGTGCTATGTTACTCCTTTTCTCTTGTGTAAACCTCCAGGCAGCTATATGGAACACCAGGCTGCTCTGAGCAAGGGCTTTTTGCTTCTCTGGTCAGATTATTATCTTTCCAAGTCCTCAAACGCTTGAAGCTTTCAACATAGGTGAGCTAGTCTAATGCCTTTTGCTCAGTCTTCAGATCTTGCTTGGTCTTTATACCATCTCTGAAACTGAATGTAGGAAAATCTAGATTTTAATTATTTCAAAGGTCTCCAAAATGTTGGAATGACTTAATAATGCTTCAAATTCTGACAGTGAAAGAGGGCTTTGAGGAGGGAAAGGAGTGTATAAAAGGGTGAGGGAGATATACGGGAAATGCTACATGTGCCAGTGATAGGAGGAAATGCGACTGGGTAAGACAAAGCAAGATGAAGACAGTACACCAGGTGCTGAATACAAGGTGTCACCATGTAGCCAGTACTAGAAGTGTGAGATGTGTATTTTTCCTTATGGATTTATGCAGGTTCCACATCTTCTGGTCGTTTCTAAAAACTGAAACCATGTATAGCTAAAAGAAAATTCTGTCTTTTTCTGTGAGTTCCTCACAGAAATTGTGAGAATTTCTCTTCTTTTTACTGCTTTATGAAACTGAAGACCTATGTCTTCAGAGAAAACATCAAAGGGATGCTTCCCTGTGCATCAATGATTATTTCAAATGATCTACTATTTAAACACTTCAATTGTCCTACCGGCTGACAAGGAACAAAACAAAAAAGCCCTATGCAGTGCCATGCGAGGACTTTTACCCAGTAACTTTGTTAACTGTCTAACTTAGGTCATCGACATGGCAAGTTAGAATCTTTAGGACTAAACAGAACTGGAAATACTTGCTTAACTGAGCCCTCTGTGTTCTGGGATTTTCTATAATGCACGTACTCTTACTTTACAGGAGATTTTTTTAAAGATTCAATTCCAGAAGCTGATCTCTATATTTTATCCAAGATACTGCATGACTGGGATGATGACAAATGCAAGCACCTGCTGGCAAAAGTCCACAAGGCTTGCAAACCTGGTAAGTGTGAGCTCTTGAAAAACGGAGATTCTCATCTATCAGTTACACAAAACAGATTAGTCTTAATGGGCAATTTGGCTGGTAGGATTTCATTGCAGATGTGTTTTGGTTTAGCCCTTCACTTCATTGGTGTGCAGCTGAGCCAGAGAGGGCCAGATCCAATTGCAGATGCTCATATCTGGCTTCTAGTTTTAGTCACCTTCTCTCTGAACGCACAAGGAATCTGTAACCCTTTCCTGATGTTCAGGTGCATAAGGATCGACATGAATGGGATTTGGGGCAGTGTTGAGATACACAGGTCATAGGAGAAATCCCATTGAACATCTCATTGAACCTTTAGAGCTTTGAAAGTATAGCCAATAGAAACTGGTTTTCAGTGAAATCAGTAAACCCAGCTCCTTGGATTTCAGCTGAGGGAAACTAGAATTTTAATCCCAGCCTTAGCACACTCTTCAGCCTCCATACTGAAGTAGCTGAAGTAGTCAAGCAGAGGCATGATCTGATTGTCTTTATTGTCTTCTATGATGTGGAAATATGACTTAACCTAAAGGCTGCTTCTAACTGAAACTAAAGGTGAGGATCCTGTAAAATAACTCAGCTGAAAATTACCTCATCGTCTCACAGCTCAGCATGTGTTTTATATGTCTTTATTCAACCAGGTGGTGGAGTGCTGCTGGTTGAATCACTTCTGAAGGAAGATAAAAGTGGACCTTTAGAAACCCAACTATATTCAATGAATATGTTGGTACAGACTGAAGGAAAAGAAAGAACACCAGCAGAGTACAGCAATCTCCTGCAGGCAGCTGGCTTCACAGAGATTCAAGTCAAGAGAACTGGAAAGCTCTATGATGCTATTTTAGGAAGGAAATAATTGTATCTTCTTTCTTCTGTCTTGTTAGGTACATCAGTGGGGAAATGTGATATGCTTTTCTTAGGCAGCAGTCATCAACTTAGCTCTAGCTAAGGCATTGAACTCCTTTGTAAGCTGATACACTGTTGTGAGACTCTCTAATGGTACAGGTTGAGTGCGTACAGGCTGTGAGTCTGGCAGCTTGATGATGGCTTGCCTTTCGCCCTGAGCAGGGGAGGGAGAATTCAACACCAGTTCCACAGGGAATAACCCATGAAAGAAATTTACCAAGGAAAGTTTATGTTTACTGCTCCATGCAGTTTTTGTGCTTCGTTTTTTTTCATTCTTTCCAAGTTTAACGTTATACCTGACAAATGCAAAGTATAATTTGTACTCTGCTTCCTGCAAAATAAAGCTGATCTCTGTACTGAGCTCTGTACTGTAGCATGAATGCTGCATGCATTTGTGTTCCCTGGGGACTGATGTAGTGTGACTAGAATAAGTTTTAACTCCCTGTAGTTTGTCAGTTTTGAGTTTCAGAAGAAATCCTGTCTGAGTCCAGATAAGTTTGGCATGAATATCTTTTTTTTTCTTCTAGGCTTTGATTTAAGTTTTGAAAAGGAGAACTTTGTAGCCTAGCTTGATGAATGATTAGAGCACAGTGATGTTCTTTGCAGGCCTTGAGATAGCAACTGACAGGGAGAACGATGCAGCCAAGGAATTCAGTATTACATACTTGCTACCTTGCTGCTTGCCTCTGGTCTCTTTAAATCACTTGTTGAAGTGCAATCTGCAATAACCTGCCCAGTTTCTGGAAGTAGAAAAGAAGATTACTGGAGTGAGAAACATTTGGAGGAGGCACCAAAAAGTCACACTCTAGAGATGTGACTTGAAAGCTAGTTGCCTTTGCACGTTGACTAGGGTACTAAAGGAAGCTGAGACAGTCTTCTCAGCAGCCCTCTAAAGGAGCCTCTCTCTCCCTTGACTGTAGAAGGAACACAGAGAGATCAGAATCCCTCGGCAGAGAAAAGCTGGCCTTTTGTCACAGTCTGTCATAGGTACAAAATCAAACTGCAAGGCCTCAACGGTGCTCTCATCCTTCAAAGCAATAGGGCACATGAGCCGCTGCGCCGGTAGCTCCTTTATGGCCAACTGGGATCTCGGGGTATAGATATCTCCACAGTATTGCAGTAGTTGGGGCAGTGGGTTTCAGCTAGTTGCCTCGTAAACTGCAGTCCCTGGGCAGCGCTGCCTACCTGCGGGTTATGCGGCATGAAGGTGACTTTGCCAGGAGCTGCAGCCTGTGAGTAATTTGTTCTGAACGCTCGCTTGCTCCCTAGACAAAGCAAGGTGTTGCATCCTGCAGCAGCCAGGCAGAGGCACAAAAGAAAGAAAGGAGGCTGACCCAACAGCTAGCAGGGATGTGTGGGGCTTTACTGATTCCCCACCCTCCTGCCCTGCTCGGAGAAATGATTTTGCTTATTCAACTGCACCAGTAATATTAGTTTCATGCTAAAGAGTAGCCTGAAGGAAGTGGTGGTATCTGTGAATTAATTACCCTTTAAAGTGAAGACTCACTCTTTAAACTGGCTAAACATGAACCCTGTGCATTTTTCACCAAGGAACCCCTCCCCCCCAAAAAAAATTGCATGCCCATGGACTACCATTTGCTCATGTGGCTGCATTGCTCCCTGAGCCAGCAAACTGGTCAGTCCTGGTCGGTATGCTGTGATGTGTCAGGTTGTGTGTGCAGCTGCATAACCTTGAGTCAGAGAATTCCCGTCTCAGCTGCTGTCAGTGGTAATTCTGCCCTTGACTTGAAAAAGAGCAACAGCAGGCCATTTTGGTTTGTCAAAACTAATTCCTTAAATGCAGTGCTTCCTGTGAGTTAATTCTCAATACTGAGAAAGGGCCCTGATCTGCATGTCCTGGACTTACTACTTAATGGCTCAGGAATAGGCAAGATGCACACCTGACTGACCTACCTTTTAGCTGTAACAAGGTTCAAAGACACTGGACGTTTAAAGAACACCCATCATGACCCATCATTACCCGGAATATAGAAGGAAATGAATCAAGTGCAGAAGAGTGATTGCAGAGTTTGGGGGTGGTCAGTATTTAGATAACTGTTAAGGATCAGATGCAGCAGCATCAGAGCAGCTAAACACCCACACATGGTCCCAGCATGCTGTCACTGCTCGTGTGAAAAAGACCCTCCAGCCATCTATAACTTGGACTGCTCATTCCTTATCTGCCTGTTTGCAGCTGGACGTTCAGTTCCTGGGATGACAAAGCCACCCTCTCTGGCTAGATGACTAAGGAAATGGTGCAGTAGGGATTAGGAAAAACATTAGTTTAGCAAAAGTAAACATTTCTCTGTATTCACCTTCAGAGACCCAGAGCTTCAGAACCATAGAATAATATTATGACAGCACTCATGTGCTATTTCATCTGTGTTATGTTTATTCGTGTCCTCAGTTCTGTTTCTCCTATTTTTTCCCCCACTTGTTTTCCTCCACAATTTATTTACCCTACTTTTCTTTCTGTGTCTCTTTCCTTTCTAGTGTGCCTTTCGCCTTTCTATCCTCCCTCTAGTTCCTTCTCCTTGACCCAAAGATGGAGGTGGTTGCTCTGTAACTATAGAAGGTTCTATGTCTTTCCTAGAAAATCTTTAAAGAGATATTCTTAGAGCCGTTCTGTTGTGTTGGATGACAAACTCTCCTTGCTATTAAGCCCCAGTTCCTGTATTAGGTAGTTAGCAGCCCAGATGCAAACCAGTTAAAATGAACACTCTGCCACTCTCCCACTCAAAAAGAGGCTTTTTTATTTTTTTCCCCAAGGAAGTCCAGGTTGGAGGATCTGAAAGAGCCTGAAGCCCAGCTCTGCTTGCCAGGTCAGTGCCAGAGTACACCCTGACCGCTCTGAACTTAAGAGCTGCTCTGGCAAAGCAGAGGCGTAGTTGGTGTCGTCAGAATCTTCTCCCGTTGTTCCGACTGAATGACAAGCACCGTGAAGAAGACCTCCTCCCCGCGTGAGGAGCACAGGTGTCCTCACCAGAACTGTCCTCACCGCTTCTGATCTTAGTCCTTTTGCTCGCGGGGCCATTGCTTTGTGAGGAACAGCCACTGTCGGCAAGGCTGCTGCTGACCCCAGTGACAAATTTCAGCGCTAACCTGCCTTTGCAGGCATCTTTCTTTGTAGCAAGTGCTTTGGTGAGTGCAGGTCGATTCAAATCCAGGTTGCTCTACGGTTTCCATGCTCCCACAGGGACCTCTGGTGACACCTTGTTGTACTTGGGGTCTTTCAGCTGTGTTGTTTTAACAAATGTATTCTGGCACTAGATATGGTGGCCCCCTCCCAGCATCCTTTAACCCTTCTGTAAGTAATTTGCCACCAATATTGTTTAGCATTGTTTCAGCAGAACTTTGAGCAACGTGTTTTGTGAGGCCCTTATACATCGTTGGATAATACAATATTCAGAGTTCTCACAAAAAGCATTTTTGCTATTGGGCAATTACTTTCTCTCTGGGCCTATGTGAGTGATGACTTATGCCCATTTATTCTGCATCATTTTGTTTTTCTTGGTGGTCTGAACTGACTGAGCTCTTTAGAGCAGCAGAACAGGAGAAGTAAGCTGGGTTTTGTTGGGTTTTTTTGATGTTGAGAGAGATTCTCAACAAGCAACAGGGTGGAGGTTTACAAGATACTACCTTTTATGTTTTGGGTGATGGCTATGTAGTGCAGGTGGTTCCCAAATTCAGGTCTTTTCGCAGTCCTGGGTCAGGAAGTTTCCTCCAGTGGCTGCAGATGGCTCTTGTGGACAGACGTCCCCCTGCCACAGGGTTTCTTGCCATATAGGCTGCGATGAGTTTTCTGGCTCCCACTATGACTTAGGAGTAATGAGTAAAAACTGGCCAAAGTTGGGGTCAATGGGCAAAAAGCAAAAGAAGAGAGGCTGAATGCACCATGCAGGCGACAATCCCCAGACTGAGATAGGGTTGCCCAGCTAGGCTGTGTGAGAGCAGCTGCCCGCGAGGAAACTCAATTTGGTAGGCCAGAAGCCTTTAACAAGGCTTGACCTGGAAGATATATAAAAAGGCAGAGGCCAGGAGCAGCCAGGGGAATTTGTCTTGTTGACACGCTGAGTTTCCGCCTGTGAAAGGGGTCTGGTTCCTGCTGCAGGCTACCATCTCATTTGGGAACCCTGACTCGTGTTGACCCTGCCTTTGGCCTAGGCAGCTAAGCACCCAGCAACAGCAGAAGTCTGATTTTATACGTATGTGTGTATAAGCATGTTTTCCTCCTGTATTCTGCACATTTCTCCCCTGTACTTTGACCAGCTGTTCCCAATAAGAATAAAATTTTAAGCTTGCATCTGACTACTTACTTCTTTGGGTAACAGGTTGTTCCATGACTGCAGTTGCATGCAGTACTGCAGAAAATTTCGCAGCTGGGATCTTTCAAAATAAGGCTTTCAAAACCCTCCAGGCCTCTGTGGAAAGTTTCAGCCCACACATCTGCTGCAAAGGAGCCAAGGACAGGATGCTCACTCATGCCTGCTCCTTGTGTTCCTTGCTGTTGTACTAGTGTTTGCTTAAAGCTAGTTTGTTGCGTCCTTGCTGGTGTCCCCATCTGTTTTGTGGGCTCAGTCTTTCACATTTTTTTATTGGGCTACATGTGCCATTTGTTTCACAAGCTGGATGCCCCCTTTCCCCTGTCAGTTCACCTAGGCGATCCAACACAGATTCTCCCTTGCTGTTCTGGCCAAGATTGGCCAATGTGCTCAAAGGCTTCTTATTTGCCCTGGGGAGGTGCTCAGAAAATGTTTCCCTAACTAGTGTAAGAGAAATTCCTCTAGTTTTCATCTTCTTTGAAGTCTTCAATTTTCATCCCAGTTGTCAGGAACCACAAAAACAGTGATTGCTTTAAATCTACATATATGTAATGATGTGACCTCTCTGCTTGAGCTCCATTTTCTGTCCAACAACGATTCCCAGACATGATTTGAAATTTTCTCAGCCTAAATCCAAACAAACCCATGCTAAAAGCTTTTGCTTTTACCTCTGCTTGACTGCTGCCTTCACATTTCTTAAGGCTTTATACTGTTCCCTCCTCCAGAGATGG